AATTTATTTAAATTTCATATACCGCTTAATAAGTGGACAAACTCCCTATAAAAACAAAATTCTATTTTCTAGAGAAACATAAACACCTAAGGTCTCAAACCTCTTTAATCTTCATACTATGTCACTGAATGATGATAATATGCATTAATACAAAATTTTCATATTTTCTCATTTTTTCTCAAATTTTCATATCCCCTATGAAAAAATCAAGTTTTTCAATAAATTTTATATTCAGAAGTTTAGGCTTTTTATTGTTGATTAAAAATTACCTAAGCACATTCTAAATTTGTATTAATGTATTTTAAAACTATTTTCATGGTATATGGACATCATTTCTAATTTCCAACATGTAATTTATTTAAATTTCATATACTATTTAAACACTGGTCAAACCCCCTATAAAAAAATCAATTTTCTGGAGAAACATGAACATCTAAGATCTCAAACCTCTTTAAGCTTCATACTATGTCACTACATTATGAAAATATGCATTAAAAGAAAATTTTCATTTTTTCTTATTTTTCTCAAAATATGTGGGTTAACCCCTACAAAAAAGTTGAATTTTCAATAAATGCTATATTCAGAAGTTTAGGATTTTTATTGTTGATTAAAAGTTATTTTATCACATTCTACATTTATATTAATGTATGCTAGAATTATTTTCATGCTACATGAACATTGTTTCTAAACTTCCATCACGTAATTTATTTAAATTTCATATACTGCTTAATCAGTGGACAAACTCCCTATTCTAAAGAAACATGAACACCTAAGGTCTCAAACCTCTTTAATCTTCATACTATGTCACTGAATGATTATATTATGCATTAAAAAAAATTTATATTTTCTCATTTTTCTCAAATTTTCATATTTCTCATTTTTCTCAAATTTTCATATCCCCTATGAAAAAACAAGCTTTTCAATAAATTTTATATTCATAAGTTTAGGCTTTTTATTGTTGATTAAAAATTACCTAAGCACATTCTAAATTTGTATTAATGTATTTTAAAAATATTTTCATGGTACATGGACATCATTTCTAATTTCCAACATATATTTATTTAAATTTCATATACTATTTAATCAATGGTCAAACCCCATATAAAAAAATCAATTTTCTGGAGAAACATGAACATCTAAGATCTCAAACCTCTTTAAGCTTCATACTATGTCACTACATTATCAAAAATGCATTAAATTTTTTCATTTTTTTTTATTTTTCTCAAAATATGTGGGTTAACCCCTACAAAAAAATTTTAATTTTTCAATAAATGTTATATTCAGAAGTTTAGGCTTTTTATTGTTGATTAAAAGTTATCTTATCACATTCTACATTTATATTAGTGTATGCTAGAATTATTTTCATGCTCCATGAACATCGTTTCTAAATTTCCATCACGTAATTTATTTAATTTTCAAATTTCCCCTATAAAAACAAAATCCTATTTTCTAGAGAAACATGAACAGCTAATGTCTCAAACCTCTTTAACCTTCATACTATGTCACTACATGATGCAAATATGCATTAAAATAAAATTTTCATTTTTTCTTATTTTTCTCAAAATATGTGGGTTAACCCCTACAAAAAAGTTGAATTTTTCAATAAATGTTATATTCAGTATTTTAGGCTTTTTATTGTTGATTAAAAGTTATTTTATCACATTCTACATTTATATTAATGTATGCAAGAATTATTTTCATGCTACATGAACATCGTTTCTAAATTTCCATCACGTAATTCGTTTAAATTTCATATACCGCTTAATCAATGAACAAAACCCCTATAAAAACAAAATTCTACTTTCTAGAAAAACATGAACACCTAAGGTCTCAAACCTCTTTAACCTTCATACTATGTCACTAAATGATGCAAATATGCATTAAAACAAAAAAATTATATTTTCTCATTTTTCTCTAATTTCCATATCCCCTATGAAAAAAATCAAGTTTTAAAATAAATGTTATATTCAGAAGTTTAGGCTCTTTATTGTTGATTAAAAATTATCTAATCACATTCTAAATTTGTATTAATGTATTTTAAAACTATTTTTATGGTACATGGACATCATTTCTAATTTTCCAACATGTAATTTATTTAAATTTCATAAACTATTTAATCAGTGGTCAAACCTCCTATAAAAAAATCAATTTTCTGGAGAAACATGAACAGCTAAGGTCTCAAACCTCTTTAACCTTCATATTATGTCACTGCATGATGCAAATATGCATTAAAATAAAATTTTCATATTTTTCTTAAAATATGTGAGATAACCCCTACGAAAAAATTGATTTTTTCAATAAATGTTATATTCAGAAGTTTAGTCTCTAATTTTCCAGTGAGTAATTTATTTAAACTTCATATACCATCTAATAAGTGGATTAACCCCTACAAAAAAATATTCTGGAGAAATGGAAACACCGAAAGTCTCAAACTTCTTTAATCTCCATATTATGTTAGTGTATGATGCAGCTATGCATTAAAATAAAATACCATATTTTTAATTTATCTTGAAGTATGTGGGTTAAATCCTATAAAAACTAATTTTTTCGATAAATGTTATATATACTAAAGTTTAGCCTCTCTAATTTTGTTTAAAAATATCTAACCAAATTCTAAATTTATATTATTGTACTAAATTTATGTTCTAATCTTCAACATGGAATTTAAAAAACTTCATTTACCACCAACATCATTGAACTAAACCCTATGAAATATCTATTTTTCTAGAGAAACCGTGTCTCGGGAGACCATTTATTAACTCTATATAATAACAAATCACATTAAATCGAAAATATTAAAAACGAAAATGAAACTACAATATATGAATCATATCCTAAGAAAATAATGTCAAAACTGGGACCAAGCTTAATACAGATCGGTCCAAAATTTCAATCGTGAAAATAAATGAATACCTTATCGATAATTAGTTATTCGAAGACTTTTCTTATATTAATGCCAGAAATATTTATAAATAACCAATCCTAAACTATATAGATAAAAGTTCGGTAATTAGTTAACGTCTAAAAAAATCACTTGGACAGTGAAACAGAGTCTCCTTTTCCTCTGTTTCTGTCTTATCGACTCTTACCTTTGCACACATTGTAGAGAGAGAGAGACCAGAACTTGAACTCCCTAAGACAATGAAAGACTTTACTTCTTGCTCCGGTGAAAATGGCGTTCAGGTTACAGATCCTTCCTCGTCCAACGCTGTAAAAGTTTCACAGAATCTGGTCATTTGCATCTACCGTTGCTGCATCAGAGGTAGGACTTGTTTGATCACAGTCACATGGACTAAGAATCTGATGGGTCAGTGTGTGACCGTTGAAGTCCATGATTCTTGCAACCGAAGTCTTTCTAAAGTCGAGATCAAACCATGGCTCTTCACTAAACGTAAAGGGTCCAAGAATCTAGAGGCATATTCTTGTGACATCGATGTTTATTGGGATCTCTCGTCTGCTAAATTTGGATCCAGCCCTGAACCTTTAGGAGGGTTCTATGTATGCGTTGTTGTGGACAAAGAGATGGTTCTTCTTCTTGGTGATATGAAGAAAGAAGCTTTTAGGAAGACTAATGCTGCTTTATCTCTTGGTGCTGTGTTCATTGCCAAGAAAGAGCATGTTTTTGGTAAGAGAACGTTTGCAACAAAAGCTCAGTTTTCAGGTGATGGTAAGACACATGATGTTGTGATAGAGTGTGACACAAGTGTTAGTGATCCTTGCCTTATTGTTTGTGTTGATGGGAAGACGTTGATGGAGGTGAACCGGCTTCGTTGGAAGTTCCGTGGTAATGAGACGATTGTTGTGAATAGGATCTCTGTAGAAGTTCTCTGGGATGTTCATAGTTGGTTCTTTGGGGTACCATCATCACCAGGGAATGGTGTGTTTATGTTCAGGAATTGTCAAGCTGTTGAGAAGACTTTGTCTTCCACGCAGGTCCCAACGAGCTCGAGACCTCAAAGGTTTGGGTTTACATTGTTTCTATACGCTTGGAAGAACGAGTAGAGAAGAAGTTTTGAGAAGATTCTTGTCCATTTTTATTTATCATATGAGGGTTTCAGTAATATTTTTAAAGAACTTGATCTTTGTATATATCAGTTTCCTATGTTATAGTTTGTACATGAGACTTGTAAGGACTCTCCTATTATCAAGGAACTGAATATCCAGATACTCTGTTTTGTTCATTAGGTGCACAGATACTAGTTTCTTTGGCTAATAATCTTTGTTAAGTCTGTTGTAATTGACTGCAATCCTTGACTTGGTGGAGTCTTTGCATAGTTTTATGATTATTATATCCACCAAAAAGGGTGAACAGCTTTGCATTCTTGCTTAAAAAAAAAACATCAAAGTTCACTTGAATTGTCAAGTCAATGATCTTTTAGAGCAAGCCAAGTTACTTTAGTCTTTATACTGTCAAACTAAACTTTTAGATTTTGATATCTCAATGGGGTGGGAGGGACCCTAACCAAAACCTGTGTGAAGTTTCTATAGAGAACCTTTGAAACTGATTGCCGTTTGATTTGATCATTTTCTCTCTTTTTGGATCTTTTTGTCTGTGAAGCATCTTAGATAACGAGAAAAGTTTAGTGAGAAAAAAGAGAGACAAAGATGTGTCCTTGATAATGCTTCCTATTGCTTCAACATTTATTTTCTTTTGGGTTTTTGTGGAATCATCACATGTTTGCCTCTCTGTCTACTTCTGTAATAATAATAATGCCATGCCAAATGCTATATGATCAGTTTCCTATACCTTGCCACCTGGTCCCTACCCTACTTACCTTACCGGAACCCGGTTTGGACAACTTTCTTGGTTTTTTGTTGTTTACCAAGTTTTGATATTTTGTCACTAGAGAAATACCCTTTCGTAATACTAATACTATTGAAAACAACAATGTAGCAAATGACTCAACATATATACTATATGGCATTTTTATTAATCATTGTCAATTAGAAAAACTAAACAGACCTGATCACTAATAACTAATTAGTATGGTAACTGAGACAAATTTTCTATTAACGGTTATTTAACTCTCAAGTTTGGAGGAAAAGGTTTATAGCATAAATTATCCAAAACTCGATAGTTTATAGTAAAAAAAAGTCATCAATACACCAAAAAGAAGCTGAGAAATCAAATGAGTGTGCAAAGAGACAAAGCATGAAAGAAGCTAAAAAGATTTAGATGATAAAACGATCTCTCATTTTAACATTTCTCAAGAAACCCTCTTAAGCTCCAATGATCTCAGTAGGCTCCTCGACAGTCTCTTCAGCTGGCCTGTCTACTTTAACACCAACATCCTCTGCTGTGTAGTCTCCGTGAACCTACACAGAGATTAATAACCACAAGCATTTAATTAAAATAATCTTTTGATGATATGTTTCATCTCAAAATCAAAAACAAAAAGTGTTGGTAAGAGTAGTTTCACTTCACCTCCATGAGCTTTCCAAGGTCGAATTTGGGAGCCTTGAGGATCTTGACTTTACGGATGAAAACATTCTGAAGAGGGTAGATGCCCTGAGTTGCCTTCTCAATATCTTTCCCAATAGCTTCGGGAATAAACTTGGCAACAAGCTCCTTGAGGTCACAAGACGAAGCTTCCTTGACCATAATCTCCCTCATCTTGCTGCGAATCTGAAGCACACGAACAACAAATGATTAAGTGGTTAAGCTCAGGAGAAATGGCATAGCTAAAGACTTTGATATATGAATACAAACCTGACGGATTTGGCTGGATTGAGCATAGCAAGTTCTCTTGACTTGGTTAGCACGTCTCTTGGTGAATCCAATGCAGAAAAGCCTCAGCGTGAAGTTATCAGTGGTCTTAACATCAACATGAGACTCGATCAAAGTCTGCCACTTCTTAACCAAGGACCTGAGTTTGTCTGTTGTGAAGTCCATGCCCTAGTGAAGGAACAAAGAGAGGTAAGAAACTCAGGAGAGTCCAAGAAATAAGAGATAACGCTAGGAAATCAATTGTCCTTACCCAGAATTGAGTCAAGACATTCCTGCCTTGAACATCTTCAGCTCTGAGACGGATCTTCCTGTAAGAGTGATCCTCATCACCTTGAAGATCAGCAAGAGACACCTCGAACACTCTGTGTTTCAAACCCTCTGAAGCAATCTGGTGTGTTTCAAAAGTAGACAAAACAAGATTTAAGCATTCAGTAATACATTGAAACATCATTTAAACTATCAAAAAGTTATGATTTTGCAATTACTACAGAACAACAATCATAACATAACATACATTTTTTTGCAGTAAGTTCCGACAAATCTCACTAACTAAAGCGACCAACGAGCTTGTAAGAGAAGAGACAGTTAAAGTGATTTACCTTGGTACCCTGAGTTCGGGAAACAAGTGTCTTTCCGACATTTCTGTGAGTGAAGTTAGAAGGAGCCTTGATGTCATACCAATCCTTCTTGGAGAAAGGATCAACACTGCAATCATTTAATTAAAAAAAAAAAACAAATCAAATAAACAAGACTCAAATAACTTGAAGAGCTCAAAGATGTATAAATAAATACTTACATCTTCTTCTTGCCTCCCTTTCTTCCCTTGGAGATTCTCTTGTTCTTCCTACATTACATAAGAACAAGATCAGTAAATAACACTTGGAGATATACAGATAAGAAAGTAGAAACGAGAGAGAATAATACCCGACGGCCATGGTTGAGGATAGTGGGTGGACGATGCACAGTGAAGAAACAAAGAAGATATAAACCTAATGCTCTACGGCGCTTAGGGTTTTGAGTTTTTGACGCGAAGAAAATATTTTGGGCTTTAGACATATTATTAGTTTAAGCCCAATTATCCATCGGCCCAATTTGGTTTCCACTATGTTCTGTCTTAAACTCGATCTCCTAAACCAATGTTTTGCGTTAATAAATCTTTTGGAACTCTGGTTACAAAACAGAAAGCTCTAGACTATATACTTGTAACAGTGTAAGAGCAGGATTGATATCTGTCTTATGCTTGCTGTTAAATACAGATTGTAATGAACAACTATTCATTAATTGTCCCAAATAGACATGATCAGTGATTACAATTTTACAACAGTGATTCGAATAAAATCCATACAACTTAACATGCCATGTTACACTTTTGAAAGACACCAAACAGGAGTTAATTCGCAAATTCTGGACTCAACACTAACAAATTGCAAACTCTAACCCAACACTAACGAATGACACATAAAACAAATTGCTTATCAAAACAAAAGCCTCTGCTTTCTCCTCACCGTTTAATCCATTGCCAACACCCAAGTCTAAGTCAGGACCGGTCCGGAGCTTAGACATCATGATTTTAAGTGATATTTAATTATATATAGGATACTATAAAAAGATCTACATGAATAATAAGAACATAAATTGAACTTAGTGCATCAAGAAAAAAAAATGAAAATATAGGACTGGCACTGGTCTAAGTCCACAAGAACAACAACAACAAACTAAAACCTATGCACAAAAGAGCATGAACTGAACCGATTAATCGGTGACTGAGTTTTATATACTTTTCTGGTTACAAAATGGATTGAAGAGATGCAACCTTTTTGAACCATGAAGAGGAAAGATATTATTACAAGACGCTTCAAAAACTCAATTGGTAATAATATTACAGAGGAGAGAAATAGTCATCAGAGTGAAAAATAAAAACTTAAAACATTCAAAAACATCACTTATTCATAACTTCAACACCATTCTTCCCAGCAATAATCACACTCGTAGCCATCCCCAAAAACAAACCATGCTCCACAACCCCTTCAAACTTCCCAATCTCCCACCCAGCAGCAACCGCATCCTTCAACGGCTCCTTAAAATACAAATCAACAATAAAATTACTATTATCCGTAACATAAACCTCCCCACCCTCACCAACTCTCAACTTCGCCTCACACCCAAACTCCTTAAACAAATCCCTCAACCTCACCAAATTAAACTCCCAACAGAACTTCACAACCTCCACAGGCATCGCCAACCCGCTCCCTCCCAACCCCTCCACAAGCTTCGTATCATCAGCAACAACGATGAACCTCTCCGCAACTGCCTCCACCATCTTCTCTCTCAAGAGCGCACCTCCCCGTCCCTTGACCAAGTCGAGATTCGGATCAACCTCGTCCGCTCCGTCGATGGCCAAATCGATTCTCGGATGCGTGTCTAAGGTCACGAGGGGGATGCCTAGGGACCGTGCTTGCTCCTCGGTACGTTTTGACGTCGGGATGCCGACGATGTCGTGGAGCTCGCCGGAGGAGAGGAGTTTTCCGATTTGGGAGACGGCGAAGGCGGCGGTGGATCCGGTTCCGAGGCCGAGGACCATCCCTGGTTTGATGGATTGTACTGCTTTTTCGGCTGCGAGTTTTTTTAGGTCGTCTTGGGAGAGTGATTGTGCCTTGACGGAGAAGGAAACGGAGGTTTTGGGGGAAGAGTGAGAGGTTGTGCGTAGGGTGAGAGAAGGAGTGCGTAGAGAGGATGAGACGAAGGATAAGGAAGCCATTGGAGAGAGAGAGAGAGAGAGGATGAGACGAAGGTTTTGGTTTTGACTTTTGAGTGGAAGAGAAAGGTCAGGGCGGGTTTTTATAGTTGGTGTGAGGGTATAATTGGAAAAGCACTCTATTTAATCAGAGGTTTATCATGCGGCGTCGTTTAGTTTTTTTTTTAAAGGTTTTTTATAGTTGGTGTGAGGGTATAATTGGAAAAACAAGTTACAAGCTAATAACCGGCTAGATTAGTCAGAGGTTTATCATGCGGCGTCGTTTTCTGTTTTTTTTTTTTTTTTGAGAATAGATATAAAAACTTTTTTTTTTGTTTTCGTCTGGAAAAAGTCTAATTACATTCTTCCACTTTCTCGATCTCCAGATTTCTTAGGAAAAAAGAAAAACTCAGGATGTCCGCTGAATCAGCCAGCGAAATTCCTAAGGGACAGGTGAATTAATTTTAATTTTTTTCTTATTATTTTATAATGCATAAAAGAAGGAATTTCAGTTTTTGATTGGGTAAAAATATGTAGGGTTCTTGTTTATTGAGATGTATTTAAATATTGGGTCTTGTTGTGGTGTAATTTGATCTATGGAGTTTATTAATTTTGATTGGTTGTGTTTAATTTTTTTTTCTCAGGTTGATCTGTTAGATTTCATTGACTGGTCAGGTGTTCAATGCCTCAACCAAAGCTCAACTAACTCCTTAACCAACGCTCTCAAGCAGGTAATAATTAACTTAGTACTCCTGTCTTTATATTAAATTTTTGTTTAATGTGAGTATTTGCATAGTTTATAGTTGATTGAGTTTGAAACTGAGTTTTGCTAGATTCAAAATATTGACCTTTTGAATTGTGCTAATCTCTAATTGTTTGATTTTGTAATGGATGTTATATGAGCTTAGATTGGTTGATTTAATTTGTTTGTGGTGTAGGGGTATAGGGAAGATGCAGGTTTAAACTTAGAGAGTGATGCTGATGAACAGCTTCTAATTTATATTCCTTTTAATCAAGTTATCAAACTACATTCCTTCTCTATCAAAGGTCCTGAAGAGGAAGGTAAATGCTTTAAAGAAGATAAATGAAAATAGATTTTCTATATTAAAAGCATAATAGATTGTTGTGATTTTAATCTTGTTGTTGTTGATTGTTGTAGTGATATGATTTAAACTTTTGCTTACTTATATAACCTTTCAGGTCCTAAAACAGTGAAGTTTTTCTCAAACAAAGAGCACATGTGCTTCAGGTAATGTGAATATATTATCTTATCCCTATCGAATTAGATGATTTTCAAGGTTAATAACTCAAAACTCTTTAATACAGCAATGTCAATGATTTTCCTCCAAGTGACACCGCCGAACTAACTGAAGAAAACCTCAAGGTAACAAATTTTGTAGATCATGTAGCTTTATTTATGTAGTGATAATGTTATGTCTTATCTCAGATAAGTTATATGTCTTGTGACCTTTCTGTTCAAATCCATTAACAGGGTAAACCGGTGGTTCTTAAATATGTCAAGTTTCAGAATGTTCGTAGGTAAAGATTTTACAATGTTTTGTGTGTTTTATAATACTTGCTCAGCAAAATCACAAGTTCGAGCTAACTATTATTTTTATATATATAATTCAAGCTTGACGATCTTCATTGAAGATAACTGTGAGGGATAAAACTCACTTTCTAATTGAGGTTAGGTTAGGATTGGGGAGAAGACAATCGTGGGCTGAATCCCTTAAGAACTTAGAGAATGAATACGTTGTTTATATTGATTTTTGGTAATAAAAGAGTTTACAAGGATGATCTTGATGATCTAATAGAAAGAACAATGATTGATCAAAAATGATTGAGAACAATG